AGCGCTATGTGCAAAAGATCCCCCCCTCGGTATAGGGAGCGCTATGGAGAGAATGCCCCTCAGCTCCCCCGCCTCGGTATAGGGAGTGCTATGAACAGAATGCACCTTAGCTCCCCGCCTCTGTATAGGGAGCGCTATGGACAGAATGCTCCCCCGCCTCGGTATAGGGAGCGCTATGAACAGAATGCCCCCTCAGTGATGTCACTTATCTCGCCGGTATAGGGGGCGCTATCTGAACTCTCCACCTCAGTATAGGGGAGCGCTATGACGACACCTCTGTACCTGTCTCCTCCTCCCGGTGTACCCCATGGAGCGGAGGACGCGGCGCACCGTTCGCTCCGATGTTGGCCCCGAGCTCCGCGTTGTACCATGCCCGCTCTGCCCACCCTCACCGCCTCTGCCAGCAAAGCCCGGTCCACGGAGGAGCGCCGCCCGCACAGAGCCCTCCGGGATGCCGTGTCCCTGCTCTGGGCCCACCGCCCGTACACCGCCGCCTTGGAGAAGCCCAGCAGCTGCACCGTCCGGTCGATGCTAGACCCCGCCCGCAGGGCACCCACGACCATCCCCTTCTCGAAGTCCGTCAGGTCGGACATGGTGGCCCCCCGCGAAGAGAGATGAGCGGAGCGGTCCCCGGCTTCTCTATGTTGATAGGGAAGAGCGCCGCTGCTGCAGGGGAGGGTTTCCATTTTTCTGGCCACTGAGTGCTCAGGAAGCAGGGACGGCCATAAGACTAGAGGGGGAATAAAGGGGGCGACCTGAGGTAAACCCTGGCACGGGGTGAGAGGGCGGGACGAGGCTCCTCACCTACAGCGGAGGACGAAGGTATAAAAAAAAAAGCGCGGGAGAGCCGGACAGGTGGACACAGGTGAGGAGCCGGTCACGTGACAGAGCGCCACCTACGAGGGGACAGGCGGAGCGGCTCAGGTGAGACAATAGAACGAGCTCATACATCGATAAAAAAGTTCCCACCGATAGCCATTTCCCGCCCGCCCGACGGTGACACCTCAGCGGAGGACAAAAAGAAATAACCCAAAGCCACCGGATTGGCTGGAAGTGCGCGGCTGACAGAATCCTTTTCATCTCCTCCCGCCGCCCCGACAACAAAGAGAGCCGCAGCGCGAACAATGGTAGACAATGTGACAGGAACTGATCACACGAGGAACCCGCGGAGGGGGGGATTTATTTTTTTTGACGTACCTTGGCGGCGGGGACCTCGCTGGTGGCGGTGGTAGTATCAACTTTGGTATCTGCCATGTTTCTTGGAAGAGCGGAGTTACAAGGAAAATGAGAGGAAGAAAAATATAAACCACAAAGCCGGAGAAAGCAGAAGATGGAAGACGAAGAGTCCACAGGACTGTGAGGAGAGGAATGAAACAACCGGAGCACAAAGCGAGAATTAAATACGAACTCGGGCTGGGCGGAGATATGCAGATGTAGTCTGTTCTTACTGGCTAGCACCGGGCCGCTGTTTGGATCTGGTTGGAGCGAGCGGCTGCCTGTTAGGGCTCTTTGGACCGCCCCCGTGCAGTTGCCTAGGCGCCGAGAGCGCCATTGGTTAAAATGGAAAAGGGGGTATTCCCCCCGCCTCCACCCCCGTGTTCCCGGAGTCCCTGTTCAGTTGGAGCGGAGAAGAGATGCTCGCCCGCTCTGATTGGCTGTCGGGGAGGCTGGTTGAATGGTAAGGCTCCACCCCCTTTTGTCATCATCTGGAGGATTGTTACTGGCTGGTACCCCGGGTTCCGTCCTCCGCTCCCCATTGGCCAGCGCCGGAGTGTTGTTGTAACTTAGTAGGAGGGAGACGGCAATGTGCGTCCAGGGCGAAGAGAAGAAAGGGGGATGGGAAGGTTCCATGTCGAAGAGTTCTTGAATTTAAACTGATGTTTCCGGTGTTGCCATTTGTGGAGGGAGAGCAGCGAGCCGCCCTCCGTCCTGCTGATTGGAAACATGAGGGTTCATTGTGCCCCGTGTAGGTTCTCTATGCCCCTCACTGAGCATTTCCTTGGAGGAGAGACCCAAATGTCCGTGCTCAGGAAGGAAACATCCCCTTACATTGGTGGTCAGTGAGGACACATCCCCTTACATTGGTGGTCAGTGAGGATACGTCCCCTCACATTGGTGGTAAGTGAGGACACATCCCCTTACATTGGTGGTCAGTGAGGGCACATCCCCTTACATTGGTGGTCAGTGAGGATACGTCCCCTTACATTGGTGGTCAGTGAGGATACGCCCCCTTACATTGGTGGTCAGTGAGGACACATCCCCTTACATTCGTGGTCAGTGAGGACACATCCCTTAGATTGGCGGTCAGTGAGGATACGTCCCCTTACATTAAAGACGAGAGGAAAGGGTCTGCTGGTCCCACGTCATTGGCTCAGCCATATCTATGCAGGCACCATCAAGCAGGATGTCCTGGCGACTTATTACAAGTGCCACAATTTGGTTTGTTGGTGCCCTTTGACCATTTTGTCCCTAGATGGCCGCCTACATCGTTTGCCAGGTCCAGGAAGTGGCCCTGTGGCAGCAGCTAGGTGAAGAACACCAAAGAACACACTTCATAGGGGCCGGCTGAGACTGTGATCTTTGAGGTCCATATATAAACAAATCTTAAATTAGTGGGATCCGCTCACCTCCCCAGGTGGCCGTGTACAAGATGGGACAGAAATGAGAAGTAGTCCAGGATTAGACAGAACCTGTGATTCCCAATGAGTCCACAGAGCCGGACGCCTAGAGGAACCCTTGGATGCAATGATTTTTATACATAGATCCAGCTGGACTACATGAAGTACAGAAGGAGCCTGACACCTCTTCTCCAATCATTTCTTGTCTGACCCGCACCCGGGTGACACCAAAATGACTGGCAGTCATTTTGGTGTCATCCCCTGTGACTGAGAGCCCGACAGTTTCAGGAGAGAGGAGGGGACCTGGGGGCATACCTCATCCTGCCGGGTGAACGTCGCCTCCTCTCTCTGCCGGCGTCCATCACCAAGATGTCCGCCGCCAGGTATCAAAAAGATAACCGCGCAGGCGCAATGACGTCATCACGCGAGACGTCACGCGCAAGTGTGATGACGTCACATCAGGGTGTCACCCTGTATCTAGTCCAGGTGAATAATATCTATCTCTCCCTCTCTCTCCCCATTATCTCTCTCTCATCGTTCTCTCTCCCTCCCCATTATCTCTCTCTCTCTCCATTATCTCTCCTCTATCTACCCATTCTCTCCCTCTCTCTCCCCATTATCTCCCCCCCCCC